ACATTGTTAAAAGGAACATCAACCATCATCAAACATCTCGATTCTGGAAAGCAACGGCTTAAAAACATCCCACTGGAACCTGTTGCCATGGGTCCTGGACCCGTTCCCAGGGTCCAAAATCCGGGGCGCCCGCGACGCCGCCTCCTGGGCCAGGCGCTCCAAGTCCGAGGCCTGACGGGACGCGACGTGGAGCTCGGCCGAAGGAAGGAGATCAGAATTGAGGTTGATGTCGAGTGGACACGGTGTTGAAGGTACAGATTCTGATTCAAACGAAGAACAATCGTCTATTTTGGTTCAATCGGTTGATTCTGATCAGATTTGCCTGGCAGAATTTGATTGGGGTCGCTTTCCGTGACCCAACGAGGGAGCAAGTTGGACATCGAGGGTCGAGGGGATTGGACACCTAATTGCCAGGGACGACCAGGGCGAAGTGGCTTGTCAAGGCAGCCGTTCGCCATCGAAAAGAATATCCTCAGAATAGCTCAGTCCCGCTGTCGTTCTTGCATAGAAATAATATCTTCGAAAGACTCAGAGACCACGAGATTGGGCGAACATTCGCCAGGGAATGCTCAACTCGAATTGCAGGTCTTCTCATCATGTGATGTCCACTTCCGTCCCCTTGTCCCAGTGTCCCAGGGTACCTCCTACAGCGGCGGAGCTTGACGTCCGTTCTGGAGGGCTTGCTTACTCTCTGACTCCCGAGCAGGAGATCACTGGAAAATTAATATATATATATATATTAATATTATATATATATACAAAGAACTTCCAGTGACTCTTTTACTCCACCTGGTAGTCATGATCCACCACTACTATGAGGGTATGAGGGTAAAATGAGTCAATTTGGACTCCTAGGGATATGTATATATATAGTTTAACATTAGTTTAACTGTTAAACTGAACTGTCCACCTGTCCACCTGTTCTTGTTTGGTAGTGGGAACAACAAGAACCCAAAAAAGGTTTTGCAGGTTATCCACTTTTCCTGGTAGGCACTTCTGTTCTAGGAGGCACACAAAGGCAGAAATGGTCAACAATTCTGTATAGGGTCCCTAGAGAATTCATTTGCACCAAAATATGCGGGAGAAAAGACACGACACACGAAGCTACTAGTAACAATTGCCACGCTAGTAGTAACAGGTGCCTTACTAGTAGTAACAAGTGCCA